AGAAGGATGAAAAGTCTGATAGGGAAATATGTATGAAAAATACAAAAAAACAGGGTATTTACAGGCTATTTACAGACACACGACAAAAACAGAACTGCACTACTACGCCATCTTGGAAAGTAAATTGAATGTGGCTGTCATTTCCGCTGAGAGGGGAATGAAAGTACACATAGTCAGAGACAATATGGTGGTCTGTGGGGAAGAGGAGCCATGTTATTGGTGTAGGCAAGATTTGTTAAGGGATGGAATAATTGATATTCCCCGAACCTTGATGGAACTTGCTGATGATGTAGTACCAGGCCCCACTAAAATGTCCCCCGATGACCTACACTGTACTCTCTGGTATAACAAACACCCAGGTCCAGATGCAATATATGAGGAAGCATTATTTAAAACCACAGAAAGGACTATAGCCTTGAAATGGTTTCACCATGACAACACCCACGCAGTAGTGGAGGTGGAACTAGGGCCCCAATGTCAGAGACTGTTCAGGGAAATATGGAGCCCACATGTGTCCCTAGCAAAGGAGCCAGCAGAGGACTGGAAAGACATGGGCCAGTGGGTATCCAAGGGTAAGAGGATCACTGATTGGGTCAATATTGTGAGTGGCGATTAACACAGCCCATCCACAGATAGTACATTTAGATGAGAATAGCAGATGCTGAGGAGAGGAATACCTGTTGACAGAACAACAGGAGTCAGACTTAAAAGAAGTTCCAGAGCATTTGTGGTCCCGGGGTCCAGCATACGTAGGATTAATAAAAGGGGTAATTCCAGTACAGGTGATACCCAAATCTAATCATAGGCCGTATCAGAAGCAATACCCTATGAAACCAGAAGCAATAAAAGGTTTGCAGTTTACCAAGAGCAGATTGTGAGGGACCTTGAGGGAGGGCCAATTCTCGGGGAGATAGTGAGGCCAGAAACAAAGGTGCAGTGTCCTGGAAATCACAGTCTGTTTTGTTTTTTTCAGTTCTGCTGGGAGTACATTGGATGATGGGGTTTTGTGTTGAATTAGAGACAGTGAGACTATTAGTCAATACCTAGGAGAGAAGAGAGGTTACGGTAGCAAATACAGACAAGAAGGAAATGGTAATAGTGGAGACAGGAGTGAGTGGAAGTGTTACAATTGTGACAAAACGGGACATTTTGCTAGAGAATGTGAGGAACCGTGTAGTTACTGTGCAAGGAAAGGGCACCAGTTAAGAAACTGTAGGCAGAAGGGGAAGAGAGAAATCAGGAGTCCTCATGACCTGGCTGTTTGGTTGTTGTTTTTTAATTGGGGTTTTCAAATAAAAAACAACACACCTAGTATGATGTTTATAAAGCCTTGTTGTTTCAATTTTGGGGGGTTTTCAGCAGGTCAAGGGTGATAGGTCTTAGAGGAGCATGCACAGTGAATTTTATGGAGTTTTTTAGGTTTTGGCTGAGTTTGGGGTATATATGATTTCTTATGAGAATGAATGTCATGAGGACTAATGAACACTTGGGATAAGTAACATTTATGAAATATTTAGAATAATGGTAATGTTTGGTATACTATGGGATGGAATTTCAATTGCCTCTGAACTCTGTTTTAACTTTCTGGTGTTAATTAATCATCCACACTGGTAAATTCTAAAGGCATGAGAGGAGGACTTTAAGATAGTTTATTTTACCAATAAATAAAAATAAGGGATGGCAATTGGATGATTAATTACCAATATTACCTAAGTGATTGTTTAGGTAGGTGGTAATATTGACACATGGGCAGTGACATGTGTCAAAAGGAGGGATGGATGTTAGAGCAGATTAGACAACACTTTGTTGCATATGGGATTACTAATAAAAAAATAATTTAAAAAAAATGTTCAAGATGTGTTATCTGTGCTCAAAATAATCACCAGGGCAGACAAAGGGCACCTCAGGGTGAGTATCCTCCGGCTAAGTACCCTTTCCAGCAATTGGAAATGGATTTTATAGAGTTATCACGGAGTGAAGGGAAGAAATTTAGAGTAACCCCAGATAAAGATGGGTTATCCCCCTTTGAGAAAGTGTTTGGAAGACCTTACAGAATGCCAGTTGGCAGGACCAGACAGGCAGACATAGAACTAGAGAGCACCCTAGCAGAACACGTGAGAAGGTAGTTTATTAACCACACCTGTATGTCAGAGGTTTTGTGCCCCACAGGTGAACTAAAGGAGAAGGTGACCCACTCTATCTAACCAGGAGACTGGGTGTGGATCCAGTCCCTAAAGAAGAAAAACTGGAAGCAGCCCCGTAGGGAAGGTCTATATCAGGTCCTGTTGGTGACGGCCTTCGCTGTAAGAATCGCCGAAAGATCCACCTTGGTGCATGTCACTCACTGCAAAAAGGTAAACCCAGTTACACCTGACGAACAAACACAGAGTTAGGAGAAAGAACCGATCACCACTAGGGCTCGGGGGTTGGCTCCTTAACGAAGATTCCCTTACCCTGTCTGATCATCCCTGTGTGAGTTCGATAGAAGGTAAAGCAATGGGTTGGCCTCTGGCGTCTGACATGTTCTCAGGGCGAGGGTGGGGATTCACAGGTCTCCTGACGGTAGGTAGCTGTCTGATTGTGGGGGCCATATTCCTAACACACTCAAACCCTCCTGATCCGCCAGAAGTAGTAGTTAACCTAACAACAAGTTGATAAAATAATACCTTAACACAGTCTATGAAGGCATAGGAGACAGCTAGACGTAGGGAAAGGGGAAGTACTAGGGACTGTAGGGAAGGACATCACCATATGTATGTCACCATGTATATCCTGGGACTATGTAGTTGCTCATACCAAGCGGGGGGGATATGTCAATCTCCATACACAGTTTAAGGACAGGTGTAGTATTGTGAAAGTAGGGAATTACCAGAAATGGCAGTGCGACCCATATAAGGGTAGGTACTGTCTGAAAGTCTGAATTACGCTAAAACAGGTTACAGACCTGAACAAGTGAGATATCCTCTTCAACTGGGGCACCCTATATTGTAAACCTCTCTGAGGGAGGTAGTCAGACCGGGGCTGTGGTGAAGGAGTCTTGTAGTAACTTGCACTATCTGTATCCCCCGATAACAAAGTCACCCCGACCTAGGTTGCCTCCGTTTGAAGTCTCAGGGGATTCTTATTGTTTTTCTAGGACTAGTAAGATAGGATGCAGGGTTGGGCATCTTAGCTCCTGCTCCCACACAGAGAATGTCACAACTAAAGAGACCATGACTAATCTCTCCTCTTTGTTGCAGCCAGAGGATTTTAGGTACCAAAACCAGGCCCGTGCTGACATCTGATGGTTGTGTGGTGATAACAGATTGTGAACTCCCCTACATACGCAAACAATCAAACGTGTCAGAGACTGGTGAGTTGTCACGTAGAAAGTGGGACCTCCTCCCGGGATCCTTTGATGAAAGGATATATATTGATGGGATAGGAGTACCTCGAGGGGTTCCAGAAGAATTCAAAGCTAGGAATCAAATCGCAGCTGGGTTTGAATCAAGTATTTTCTGGTGGTCAACAATTAATAAAAGCGTAGGTTGGATAAATGATATGTACTATAACCAGCAAAGATTTATAAACCACACTCGTGATGCAATAAAGGGATTAGCTGAGCAGACAGCGGCAACTAGCTTAATGACATGGCAGAATAGAATAGCTTTAGATATGCTTTTGGCTGAGCGGGATGGAGTTTGTGTTCTGTTTGGATCTATGTGCTGTACTTTCATCTCCAACAACACAGCACCGGACGGGTCCGTGACCAAAGCGCTTCAGGGACTCACCACGCTGGCGAACGAACTGGCTGAGAACTCTGGTATTGATAGCTCCCTAAACGGTTAGTTTGATAACATATTTGGTAAATGGAAAACTATTGTTGTAACTATTCTGGGTGAAGTTATAGCTTCTATGGGTATACTTGTTCTTTGTGGATGTTGTCTTATTCCCTGTGTCTGAGGGTTGGTGAGCAAGGCGGTTTCCCAACAGATGGTGAGATACGGCCCAATCCCGGACTCCAACCTAAGGAATGAAGGATATGACCTACCAGGCTTGGTGGAGGACGACGACGATCCAGATAATTTGAGACTGGATGTTTTCCTAGAACTATAAATCTCTAGTTTAAAAGTTATTGTAATGATCTTTTGTGTATTAAAGTCTCATTTTAAGTATGATGTACTAGTTACCATTGCTAAAAAGTAACGTTATGCTTTTAATCATGGGGTAACCCTGATGAACCTGTAATGTTTTTATATGCAAACCAACTTATATACTTCAATGAGTGTGATTCATTTCCATAACAACATATATTTTGTATGTGTGTAATATTTAGTCAAAGGGTGGAATTGATAGATTAATTATTAATGACTAATTATTACACCCTGAAACTGTGTATAATGTGTTAGAAATGTGTGAGTGTAGGACCAGTAAAGGCTATGGCATTGAGCCACTATTTAGCAATGTGAGTAAGAGTTAGGCCAGACAACAAAGACAACTGAGAAACTAAGATAAAGAGGCCTCCCAATTTAGGGAGGGGAGAAACTGTTATGAAAACATGGTGCAGAATATTGTGAGAACGGCAATAACTGAGTAATGCAGGGAGTAGGATATGTGTGTGTGTGTGTGTATGTATGTGTGTATGCATGTGTGTATATGTGTGTGTGTGTGAACTGAAGGTCAGTAGAGCAGTTTTAGAGTGGAAAACTACAGCCCGCCTACAGAGGGGAGGGATTTCTTTTTGTATGACGTATGAGTATAAAAGATGGACTCTGAAATTGTGATGGCAGAATTCTCAATGAATAAATATCTCTGACTATGCAGACCGGGACTCTGGCCGTTACTTAAATCCCAAAAGACTTACAACCTTTTGGGAGACGCACAGAGACACTAAAATAGTTTGTTAAATAATTCACATAACAAACCCGTACTTGTTTTAGCAGTCTCAGCAGACCAGTCCTCTTCTTTGGAGGCCTCGTCTTGGCTCTCTTGTGGCTGATCTTAGCATGGAGCTGCTGCACCCGCTGGTCTGCATTGTCGTAGTAGAACTGTTCTGAGACCAGTAGTTTGAGCTGACCCATCTTTGCAGACAGCAGGCCTAGGACCAGTAGAACAACCAGGATAACAGACAGGGGGACCAGAGACCTGGAGAGGATCAGGGAGGGTTGGGGTCAGCATTAGCAGGTCTAGGACCAGTAGATAACAGACAGGGGGACCAGAGACATGGAGAAGAACAGGGAGGGTTGGGGTTATCAGGTGTAGGACAAGTATATAACAGAACAGGAGACAGGACTCGCGACTATCTTTTTTCCTCACCGTGCCGGTACCGTCCCAAAGTGCAATTTCAAATGAACTTGAACAGTCCCAAAATGAAAATACATTTAATGTTTTGATATGCCAACATGGGTCTAGGTCATTTGCAGTGCTTTTAAAGTATTTTGTGTATTTCTGAGACAGATACAGTCTATATTACATAAACTTAATTTGTTAAGAAAAAATATTTTGCATCTTAATGAAAACAAACATCCCCAGATGTTTAGTTAATTTCATTCCGATCTCCTTTGCATTAGTGTAGCCTTTTTCTGTAGCCTGTCAACTATGTGTCTGTCTATCCCTGTTCTCTCCTCTCTGCACAGGCCATACAAATGCCTCACACCGCGTGGCTGCTGCCTCTCTAACCTGGTGGTCCCTGCACGCATGACCCACGTGGAGTTCCAGGTCTCCGGCAGCCTCTGGAACTGCCGTTCTGCGGCCAACAAGGCAGAGTTCATCTCAGCCTATGCTACCCTCCAGTCCCTAGACTTCTTGGCGCTGACGGAAACATGGATTACCACAGAAAACACTGCTATTCCTACTGCTCTCTCCTCGTCTGACCATGTGTTCTCGCATACCCTGAGAGCATCTGGTCAGCGCGGCGGTGGCACAGGAATCCTCATCTCTCCCAAGTGGACATTCTCTCTTTCTCCCCTGACCCATCTGTCTATCTCCTCATTTGAATTCCATGCTGTCACAGTCATTTATCGCCCTCCAGGTTCCCTTGGAGAGTTCATCAATGAGCTTGACGCCTTGATAAGTTCCTTTCCTGAGGATGGCTCACCCCTCACAGTTCTGGGTGACTTTAACCTCCCTACGTCTACCTTTGACTCATTTCTCTCTACCTCCTTCTTTCCACTCCTCTCCTCTTTTGATCTCATCCTTTCACCGTTCCTCCCTACTCACAAGGCAGGCAATACGCTTGACCTCATCTTTACTAGATGCTGTTCTTCTACTAATCTCACTGCAACTCCCCTCCAAGTCTCCGACCACTACTTTGTATCCTTTTCTCTCTCGCTCTCCTCCAACACTACTCACTCTGCCCCTACTCAGATGGTAATGCGCCGTCGCAACCTTCGCTCTCTCTCTCCCGCTACTCTCTCCTCTTCCATCCTATCATCTCTTCCCTCTGCTAAATCCTTCTCCCTCCGATCTCCTGATTCTGCCTCCTCAACCCTCCTCTCCTCCCTTTCTGCATCCTTTGACTCTCTATGTCCCCAATCCTCCCCTCCTGCTCCGTGGCTTGACGACTCATTGCGTGCTCACAGAACAGGGCTTTGGGTAGCCGAGCGGAAATGGAGGAAAACTAGACTCCCTGCGGACCTGGCATATTTTCACTCCCTCCTCTCTACATTTCTTCCTCTGTTTCTGCTGCTAAAGCCACTTTCTACCACTCTAAATTCCAAGCATCTGCCTCTAACCCTAGGAAGCTCTTTGCCACCTTCTCCTCCCTGCTGAATCCCCCCCCCCCCCCCCCCCCCCCTCCTCCCTCTCTGTGGATGACTTCGTCAACCATTTTGAAAAGAAGGTTGACGACATCCGATCCTCGTTTGTTAAGTCAAATGACACCGCTGGTCCTGCTCACACTGCCCTACCCTATGTTTTGACTTCTTTCTCCCCTCTCTCTCCAGATGAAATATTGCGACTTGTGACGGCCGGCCGCCCAACAACCTGCCCGCTTGACCCTATCCCCTCATCTCTTCTCCAGACCATTTCCGGTGACCTTCTCCCTTACCTCACCTCGCTCATCAACTCATCCTTGACCGCTGGCTATGTCCCTTCTGTCTTCAAGAGAGCGAGAGTTGCACCCCTTCTCAAAAAACCTACACTCGATCCCTCCGATGTCAACAACTACAGACCAGTATCCCTTCTTTCTTTTCTCTCCAAAACTCTTGAGCGTGCCGTCTTTAGCCAACTCTCTTGCTATCTCTCTCAGAATGACCTTCTTGATCCAAACCAGTCAGGTTTCAAGACTGGTCATTCAACTGAGACTGCTCTTCTCTGTGTCACGGAGGCTCTCCGCACTGCTAAAGCTAACTCTCTCTCCTCTGCTCTCGTCCTTCTAGACCTATCTGCTGCCTTTGATACTGTGAACCATCAGATCCTCCTCTCCACCCTCTCCAAGTTGGTCATCTCCGGCGCGGCTCACTCTTGGATTGCGTCCTACCTGACAGGTCGCTCCTACCAGGTGGCGTGGCGAGAATCCGTCTCCGCACCACGTGCTCTCACCACTGGTGTCCCCCAGGGCTCAGTTCTAGGCCCTCTCCTATACTCGCTATACACCAAGTCATTTAGCTCTGTCATATCCTCACATGGCCTCTCCTATCATTGCTACGCAGACGACACATAATACATCTTCTCCTTTCCCCCTTCTGATAACCAGGTGGCGAATCGCATTTCTGCATGTCTGGCAGACATATCAGTGTGGATGACGGATCACCACCTCAAGCTGAACCTCGGCAAGACGGAGCTGCTCTTCCTCCCGGGGAAGGACTGCCCGTTCCATGATCTCGCCATCACGGTTGACAACTCCGTTTTGTCCTCCTCCCAGAGTGCAAAGAGCCTTGGCATGACCCTGGACAACACCCTGTTGTTCTCCGTTAACATCAAGGCGGTGACCCGATCCTGTAGGTTCATGCTCTACAACATTCGGAGAGTACGACCCTGCCTTACACAGGAAGCAGCACAGGTCCTAATCCAGGCACTTATCATCTCCCGTCTGGATTACTGCAACTCGCTGTTGGCTGGGCTCCCTGCCTGTGCCATTAAACCCCTACAACTCATCCAGAACGCCTCAGCCCGTCTGGTGTTCAACCTTCCCATGTTCTCTCACATCACCCCGCTCTTCCGCACACTCCACTGGCTTCCAGTTGAAGACAAAAAACATATTGTAAAGTGGTTGTCCCACTGGCTATCATAAGGTGAATGCACCAATTTGTAAGTCGCTCTGGATAAGAGTGTCTGCTAAATTATTAAAATGTAAATGTAAAAAAAAAATCATTATTAATAATTATAATTCATTAATTGAACATGTTATCCACATGTATACAATGTTATTGTGAACCTGAATAAACTTAAGTTAGAGATATTACGTTCCACCACAGCTGCCCCATTAAACAACATAACACAACAATATACAATACAGAACGTGTGTTCCCAGCCTGAAGAATGGTCGCCTTTACCTTTTTGAACGCCACCATTTGCATAACGGCCAGGGCCTCAAATGTACTTTTTGGTCCACCAGCCACTCAGATTTTTTACCAGCCAAAATAGAATTACACCAACAAAACACAAAAAAATGGATGCACATGCTTTGTAATGTTTTTAAAACAATAAATGTATTACTAGTAAGAAGTAATGTGGTATGTTGTTTAATTTCATTACATTTATGTGACCTGAGTCTTTTAACAAAAATATCACAGATGAGACAACAAAAATGACCTGCCCCTTTAAGGGAGGGAGGTTACCGTGGTAATGCAACTCAGAGTCATGTTTGTGCCTGTGAGATTGAGTCTGAGTAGTATCTGCATTGCTTCTCTTCCCTAGCAGTTGAAACTCAAACATAAAAAACAACCTAGCTTGTGAACAAAACAATGTAAATAGCCAAGAAACACACGGACAAAGTCTCTCTTTAGTAGACTTTCATTTCAAGTAAATAAATAAAAAATGTATGCCTGTGCGCAGCGCTTCTGAAAATGAATCTGTCATTCAGCTCTTCACGTGCGCACGCGCACAGCCCCCAGCCAGGCAGTGTTGCAGCGCGAGGCAGAAATACTTTGCACACTTTACAGTGTGCATTCTGTTTAGGCCAGGGAGATATAAACATATTCTGTAGAATACCATAGTAGCTAGCCATAGCCTTCTTCTTCTTCAGTAGTCCATTGTATCTGATGATGACTTCCACTTCTGAGTTAATGGTGATTTTTTTTTTGCAGTTGGTCTTAGCAAGTATTTCTGTGTGGGGCACATGGTCGCACCAAGTGATTCCCAGGATGTGCTTCAGGCATCCTATGTGGAATCGCTCTAGCTGCTTGTTGTGGCGGCTGTAAGTGACCCAAGCTTCACTGGGTGATGCAGATGGCTTGATAGATGGTGACTATGGTGTGGAGGTGGAGGTCCCTGTTTTGGAAGACCCTGCGTCTGAGTTTCCCAAAGGCAGCTGATGCTTGCTTGATCCTATTTTGAATTTTGAGGTCGATGCTGCAGTCCTCCGAGAGGACGCTGCCCAAGTATTTGAAGGACGGGACTATTGGCAGTGATTTGTGTTCAATGGTGAAGACAGGCATGGTGGGTGGAGGGCTGGATCTCCATTGGCAGACCACCTCTGTCTTGGTGGTGTTGATAGACAGTTCCATCCTGCTATAGACCCTCACAGCCGCTACAAGGACGGACTGAAGGTCTTCCGGAGTGTGGGCCACAAGAGCACAGTCATCAGCATGCTGCAGCTCAAGAACCCGCTCCGTCAAAACCTTGGTGGTTGCTTGGAGCCTCCGGATGTTGAATAGGCTTCCATCCAGCCAGAAGTCCCACTGCAACCCCGCTGCTGCTCTCAAGCTCCTTGTGGAGAAGCTTGGTGACACATAGGAGAAAGATGTTAAAGAGTACAGATGCCAGCACATACACCTGCCTCACACCGATGCTTACTCCAAAGGGCACTGACTCCTGCCCTCCTATGGCCACCCGAGCCAAAGAATTTTGGCAAATTTGTCCGGACAGCCAAATTTGAGTATAATACCCCATAGTAGTTCTCTGCTCACAGTGTCGAAGGCCTTGGCAAGGTCGACAAAGGCCATGAAAAGGTCTGGATGTTGTTCACGGCACTTCTCCTGGAGTTGTTGTGCCGTGAATATCATGTCGACCGTACTCCTGTTCTTTCTGAAGCCGCATTGTGACTCCGGCAGCAGTTCCTCTGTGATGTTGCTCACCAGCCTGTGTAGCATCACCTTGGCCAGGGCCTTGCTGGCAACAGCATAACACATCTTGGCTAGGGGAATACGGAGAGACATGAGTCTTTCACTTATTCCGACAGGTGTTTCGGTTAGGCTGAGTAAAAGGCTGTTCTTAATTGCCAGTCCCACACCGTGCTGATGTTGTTCACCCGGAGGGTAACCTTTCCAGAAGAAGGTGTAGTCTTCTCCCTCCTCTTTCAGAGAACCTTCATCCAGGAAACTTGTCTCACTCAGGGCAGCAATGTCAATGTTGTAGCGTCTTAGTTCTGCACCAATCAGAGCTGTTCTCCCATGGGGTCTATCGCTATTATCGTCAGTGTCCAAAAGAGTTCTGATGTTCCATGTCGCCAGTTTCAGGGGAATTATTTTCTTTAGTATTTTTCCACCGCTGAGTGGAACTCCCTATAGGTGCGGTAGCCTTTCCAGGATGGAGTGAGTGGGCAATATTTAGGCCACCTTTTCTAGGCCTCTCCCCAGCTGGGGTGAGCAGTGTGGCTCCTAAATAGGGCTGCTCAGTCACACAGGGGTCTGCCGAGAGCAGCTGCCACTCAAGTCCCAGCTGCTGGCGACCAATGGGAGCCCTGTCTGCAGGCCCGGAGCTGAGGTTTCGTGTGCCGGGAGTTGCTGTGGCATTTACATTGTCTGTAGGCTATCGATGTGTCCATACAGAGGCTTTGTACCGGCAACTCCCGGCACACAAAATCTCAGCTCCGGGCCTGCAGACAGGCTGGGAGCTAGTCAAATGTGCATTCTAATAGGCCTATTTGCCCAACATTGGAATGATATTCTAATATTATACATTTCCATAACCTAAATATTTACATATGCGATGCCTAGCCAGCCATATCATTGTTTGAAACCTTGACGTTTTACATCTTACCTTGCTTTTAATAGCCTAGAGACAGATTTCCTGATATGAAAACAGCATTTCTTATTCTACTGTCCAAAGGCAGTGAGGCACAATCCTATTGTTGCATCTTCAGATATTCCCTCGTTCTAAATTTGTACCATTAGGCTGTATATCCATCTCTGTAGCGTTATAAAAACCGCTCGCATCAGGTGCGTGTTTGAGAAATGGTGTTCTCCAGTAATGGTGTTCTCGCATAATAACATTCAAGCATATGGCCGAGACGAGTGAACACATTGCTGCACTTGTAATGTGAATAATTAATAGTTTATCAACTTTTAAGCTAATGTTGTGATCTGTTTCATCAGCCTTGTCTTTGTGTTTAAACATTTTAGTACGGAACCACTGTTGTATGCATTTGATATTTTTCTGGCCTATCGTCCTGCATCTGTCTCAATGTCTGTTCTGAACCTTCCCAAGCATTTTTCTTTATCGTCCCCGGGACGACTGGACGCCCTGCCTGCAGAGGATCGGGGGGGTTGGGGTTAGGGTTGGGGTTAGGGTTAGGGTTAGGGTTAGGGTTGGGGTTAGGGTTAGGGTTAGGGTTGGGGTTAGGGTTAGCAGGTCTAGGACAAATAGATAACAGGCAGGTCGACCACAGACCTGGAGAGGAGCAGGGAGGGCTGGTGAAGACAATCCTCCTGAAATAGGGTGAAGGTGTAGGAGAAATCCCCCGAGCTGTGTCCCAATACGAAAGAGACAAACCCAACCTGATGAATGGGAAAGAGATAAAAAGAGAGATTGATGCCAGCCTTTGACCTAACCTAGCTAGCATTAGGGTTAGGGTTGTAGCTAGAATTAGGTTAGGGTTTAAACCGTCTCTAGAGGAGTATCTCATTAAAGTGTTACCAAGAGCTTCATCAGCCTATTAAAATCAAAAATTTCAAATAAAATAAAATCACATTTTATTAGTCACATGCGCCTAATACAACAGGTGTAGAACTTACAGTGAAATGCTTACTTACAAGCCCTTAACCAACAATGAAGCCTTAAGAAAATAGAATTAAGAAAAGATTTACTAAATAAAGTAAAGTAAAAAATAATATAATAACACAATGAGATAACAATAATGAGACTATATACAGGGGGTACTGGTACCGACATGACACTGTATGGTTTTCTGAACCTCCAAGCATGGCAACTCATGTTTAGGTACATCTTTAGGTTAATGCTGAATGGTTCCAGGTCTACTCACGTTTAGGTACATCTTTAGGTTAATGCTGAATGGTTCCAGGTCTACTCACGTTTAGGTTAATCTTTAGGTTAATGCTGAATGGTTCCAGGTCTACTCACGTTTAGGTACATCTTTAGGTTAATGCTGAATGGTTCCAGGTCTACTCACGTTTAGGTACATCTTTAGGTTAATGCTGAATGGTTCCAGGTCTACTCACGTTTAGGTACATCTTTAGGTTAATGCTGAATGGTTCCAGGTCTACTCACGTTTAGGTTAATCTTTAGGTTAATGCTGAATGGTTCCTGGTCTACTCACGTTTAGGTTAATCTTTAGGTTAATGCTGAATGGTTCCAGGTCTACTCACGTTTAGGTACATCTTTAGGTTAATGCTGAATGGTTCCAGGTCTACTCACGTTTAGGTACATCTTTAGGTTAATGCTGATGGTTCCAGGTCTACCACGTTTAGGTACATCTTTAGGTTAATGCTGAATGGTTCCAGGTCTACTCCACGTTTAGGTACAATCTTTAGGTTATGCTGAATGGTTCCAGGTCTACTCACGTTTAGGTACATCTTTAGGTTAATGCTGAATGGTTCCAGGTCTACTCACGTTTAGGTTAATCTTTAGGTTAATGCTGAATGGTTCCAGGTCTACTCACCTTTGGGTACGTCTTTAGGTCAATGCGGACTGGTTCCAGTTCCAGAAGGTGTTTGTTGATAGTCAGAATGAGCCAGTAGAGCAGTGCGTCCAGGGAGATGAATAAGAGCCAGGGTAGGAGGTGGGTGAGCACTGGAACCAGGAACAAGAGAATGGTGTAGCCCTCTCTCTGTGTGAAGCGGGTGGAGGGGATAGAGTGGAACTGATCTGCCTCCTCTGAGCTCAGAGGGAGGAGGTGGGGCTTCCCCTCAGCTCTCTGCTGATCATCGTATCTAATAAAACCTGCTGGTGATGAAACTTGTTCTGGTACTTGAGGTTGAATAAGAATTTTCTGAGGAAACAGGGTAGTGGTGATGATGACCAGGGTAACCCCTAGTAACGGGACTGCTCTCTGGAACACGGCCATCACCAGGTCAATGCTCTCCTCAGCGCTCTTCGCTGTGGTGTTCAGCATCCGGACAGCTTCCTGAAGTTTCACCGTCAGATCGTTGGACTCAACGCTGTGTCTGACGTTGGAGTTGATTTCGGATAATCCATCGAACTTCTTGAGCTTCTCGCCCACCCACCTCAGCAGTTTGACATAGTTATTTAATGGACTGAGATCCAACAACACTCTCTTCTCCAAGTTACACACCAGACTGCTGGACACCCCTCTGAGGTTTCTGTTGAATGAATGGATAAATAAATGGATGAATAAATGGATGGATGCATGGATTAATTAATTAATTAATTCATAAATTAATGAATTGATTGGACACTTTTAAAATACATATACAGTAAGCCCTGTTTATACCTGGAGCTAAAATGCGTCCTTTGTCCTAATCTTATCCACATTCTGATTGTGCCCAACTTTTTAGCCGTTGCATCTACACATGGTATTAAAATGTTTCTTGTCCTTCCACTGTTTCTGCATTGTGACCAGATTTCCCCGAATGCAAATTATTTGACAGATATTTTTTCAAAATAATTGCAGAGTTGTGATGTTTAACTCGTTCGACTTGTCTTGACCACATTGATCTGAATAAATAACTTTCATAGCTCTACAACAAAGAATGCCACCTACATACTTCCTTAAACCTAAAATAAAAAAAGAAGTCAAAAACATCCCCCTTGTTCTTAGCGAAAACATACTCTATTTAAATGGGCAAAATGTTGATTTGGAGCCTCACAAATGTGACACATTTTGACCATCACTAATGTCATGATATTTTTGGTAAAGTAGAAAAGGTAAAACATTTTGGGTTTCAAAAAATGATTGTAACTATATATAGACATAAAAATATGAAAAGGCTTGTTTATTCCCATTTCATGGATTCACATCAGATATCATCATATTGGTATTTCATGGATTCACATCAGATATCATCATATTGGTATTTCATGGATTCACATCAGATATCATCATATTCCCACTTCATGGATTCACATCAGATATCATCATATTCCCATTTCATGGATTCACATCAGATATCATCATATTCCCATTTCATGGATTCACATCAGATATCATCATATTCCCATTTCATGGATTCCCATCAGATATCATCATATTGGTATTCATGGATTCACATCAGATATCATCATATTCCCATTTCATGGATTCACATCAGATATCATCATATTCCCATTTCATGGATTCACATCAGATATCATCATATTCCCATTTCATGGATTCACATCAGATATCATCATATTGGTATTTCATGGATTCCCATCAGATATCATCATATTGATATTTCATGGATTCACATCAGATATCATCATATTCCCATTTCATGGATTCACATCAGATATCATCATATTCCATTACATTTACATTACATTTTAGTCATTTAGCAGACGCTCTTATCCAGAGCGACTTACAGGAGCAATTAGGGTTAAGTGCCTTGCTCAAGGGCACATTTACGTCATTTAGCAGACGCTCTTATCCAGAGAGACTCACCAATTGGTGCGTTCACCCTATACCTATTTCATGGATTCACATCAGATATCATCATATTCCCATTTCATGGATTCCCATCAGATATCATCATATTCCCATTTCATGGATTCCCATCAGATATCATCATATTCCCATTTCATGGATTCCCATCAGATATCATCATATTCCCATTTCATGGATTCCCATCAGATATCATCATATTCCCATTTCATGGATTCCCATCAGATATCATCATATTCCCATTTCATGGATTCCCATCAGATATCATCATATTCCCATTTCATGGATTCACATCAGATATCATCATATTCCCATTTCATGGATTCCCATCAGATATCATCATATTCCCATTTCATGGATTCCCATCAGATATCATCATATTCCCATTTCATGGATTCCCATCAGATATCATCATATTCCCATTTCATGGATTCACATCAGATATCATCATATTCCCATTTCATGGATTCCCATCAGATATCATCATATTCCCATTTCATGGATTCCCATCAGATATCATCATATTCCCATTTCATGGATTCACATCAGATATCATCATATTGGTATGTGGTTATTATACTTTTGTTGTGTATTAGATTTAACGGTGTGAAAATTATTTTTTTCTTAGACAAACATTTCCAGGTGAAAGCCAAACGTCATACGTTTCTGGGGGAAAGGGGGGACACCACTACATTATTCAAAAGATTGCCCTCTTCTTAGATGAATACAGCCATAGTGAAAACAGTGCAAAAGGGCTGTCACCTCAAGAGGACATACACTACCGGTCAAAAGTTTGGACACGCCTACTCATTCAAGGGTTTTTCTTTATTTTCATAATTTTCTACATTGTAGAATAATAGTGAAGACATCAAAACTATGAAATAACACATATGGAATCATGTAGTAACCAAAAAAGTGTTAAACAAATCAAAATGTATTTTATATTTGAGATTCTTCAAATAGCCACCCTTTGCCTTGATGACAGATTTGCACACTCTTGGCATTCTCTCAACCAGATTCATGAGGTAGTCACCTGGAATGCATTTAAATTAACAGGTGTTCCTTCTTAAAAGTTAATTTGTGGAATTTCTTTCCTTCTTAATGTGTTTGAGCCAATCAGTTGTGTTGTGACAAGGTAGGGGTGGTATACAGAAGATAGCCCTATTTGGTAAAAGACCAAGTCCATATTATGGCAAGAACAGCTCAAATAAGCAAAGAGAAACGACAGTCCATCATTACTTTAAGACATGAACGTCAGTCAATACGGAAAATATCAAGAACTTTAAACGTTTCCTCAAGTGCAGTCGCAAAAACCATCAAGCGCTATGATGAAACTGGCTCTCATGAGGACCGCCACAGGAATGGAAGACCCAGAGTTACCTCTGCTGCAGATGATAAGTTCATTAGAGTTACCAGCCTCAGAAATTGCAGCCCAAATAAATGCTTCACAGAGTTCAAGTCACAGACACATCTCAACATCAACTGTTCAGAGGAGACTGTGAATCAAGCCTTCGTGGTTGAATTGCTGCAACGAAACCACTACTAAAGGACACCAACAAGAAGAAGAGTCTTGCTTGGGCCAAGAAACATGAGCAATGGACATTAGACCGATGGAAATTTGTCCTTTGGTCTGGAGTCCAAATTTTAGATTTTTGGTTCCAACCACCGTGTCTTTGTGAGACGCGGTGTGGGTGAACGGATGATCTCCGCATGTGTATTTCCCACCGTAAAGCATGGAGGAGGAGGTGTTATGGTGTAGGGGTGCTTAGCTGGTGACACCGTCTGTGATTTATTTAGAATTCAAGGCACACTTAACCAGCTTGGCTACCACAGCATTCTGCAGCGAAACACCATCCCACCTGGTTTGTGCTTAGTGGGACTATCATTTGTTTTTCAATAGGACAATGATCCAACACACCTCCAGGCTGTGTAAAGGCTATTTTACCAAGAAGGAGAGTGATGGAGTGCCGCATCAGATTAACTGGCCTCCACAATCCCCCGACCTCAACCCAATTGAGATGGTTTGGGATGAGTCGGACGGCAGAGTGAAGGAAAAGCAGCCAACAAGTGCTCAGCATATGTGGTAACTCCTTCAAGACTGTTGGAAAAGCATTCCAGGTGAAGCTGGTTAAGAGAATGCCGGACTTCCCGCTTCCAGGAGTCGTCCAAACCGGGAGTTCTGGAACACCTCGGACTTCCCGCTTCCAGGGGTCGTCCAACCGGGAGTTCTGGAACACCTCGGACTTCCCGCTTCCAGGAGTCATCCAACCGGGAGTTCTGGAACACCTCGGACTTCCCGCTTCCAGGAGTCGTCCAACCGGGAGTTCTGGAACACCTCGGACTTCCCGCTTCCAGGGGTCGTCCAACCGGGAGTTCTGGAACACCTCGGACTTCCCGCTTCCAGGAGTCGTCCAACCGGGAGTTCTGGAACACCTCGGACTTCCCGCTTCCAGGGGTCGTCCAACCGGGAGTTCTGGAACACCTCGGACTTCCCGCTTCCAGGAGTCGTCCAACCGGGAGTTCTGGAACACCTCGGACATTTCAGTACAAAACATCCAACTAACTGATTGAAACATTTATCTATATGTAACATCAGATTAATCAATCAACCAATGTACATGCAAAAAAACAGATATTCAAAATTATAAAGTTGTGGAAAGGCACAAGTCAGGGGATGGATATAAAAAGATATCAAAGGCTTTCTCTATCCCTCGGAGCACAGTTAAGACCATTATTTAGAAGCCGTATGGCACCACCCAGACCCTGCATAGATCAGGCCGTCCCTCCAAACTGGATGACCGGACCACCCAGACCCTGCATAGATCAGGCCATCCCTCCAAACTGGATGACCGGACACCAACCAGACCCTGCATAGATCAGGCCGTCCCTCCAAACTGGATGACCGGACACCACCCAGACCCTGCATAGATCAGGCCGTCCCTCCAAACTGGATGACCGGGCACCACCCAGACCCTGCATAGATCAGGCCGTCCCTCCAAACTGGATGACCGGACACCACCCAGACCCTGCATAGATCAGGCCGTCCCTCCAAACTGGATGACCGGGCCACCCAGACCCTGCATAGATCAGGCCGTCCCTCCAAACTGGATGACCGGGCACCACCCAGACCCTGCATAGATCAGGCCGTCCCTCCAAACTGGATGACCGGGCCACCCAGACCCTGCATAGATTAGGCCGTCCCTCCAAACTGGATGACCGGACACCACTCAGACCCTGCATAGATCAGGCCGTCCCTCCAAACTGGATGACCGGACACCAACCAGACCCTGCATAGATCAGGCCGTCCCTCCAAACTGGATGACCGGACACCACCCAGATCCTGCATAGATCAGGCCATCCCTCCAAACTGGATGACCGGGCAAGGAGGAGACTGATCAGAGAGGCTACCAAGAAGCTAATGGCGACTTTGAAGGAGCTTCAGGCCTTTATGGCAAAGGCTGGTCAATGTGTGGATGTGACCACAATAGCGCTCCACAAATCTGGCCTCTATGGGTTGGTAGCAAGAATAAAACCACTCAAGTCTCGTTTGAGCTTTGCCAAAAAGCACATTGTAGATTCCGAGGCCAAGTGGCAAAAGGTGCTGTGATCAGATGAGACCAACATTGAACTTTCTGGCCTGAACGCAAAACGATATGCCTAGCGAAAACACAATACATCTTTCCACACAAAGAACACCATGCCTACAGTAAAGCACGGCGGTGGCAGCATCCTGTTGTGGGGGTGTTTCTCTTCAGCAGGGACTGGAGCACTTGTCAGGATAGAAGGGAAAATGGACAGTGCAAAATACCAACAGATTCTTGAGGAGAACCTGCAGCCCTCTGCCAGGAAGTTGAAAATGGGAAGATGGTTCACGTTTCAACATGACAATGACCCAAAGCACACCGCCAAAGCAACCATACAGTGGCTGAAGGACAAGAAGGTGAATGTCCTTGAGTGGCCTAGTCAGAGCCCGACCTAAATCCCATCTAGAATCTGTGGAATGACTTGAAGAGTGTAGTCCATGAGCGGTCACCATGCAATTTGACTGAGCTTGAACAAGGAAGAATGGGCAAATATTGGACAGTCTAGGGGTGTAAAGGTAGTAGAGACGTATTCAAAGAGACTCATGGCTTTAATTCAAGCAAAAGGTGGTTCCACCAAGTATTAACTCAGGGGGGTGTTCACTTATCCAAATAGGGTCTTTTACAGTTTTAATTTAAAATAATTTGTAGAGTTTGTAACTTTTTTTTTTTTTTTGCACTTGGATATTGTGGGTTACTGTGTCTAAATAATGCCGGAAAAAGTAGGATTTGATGTGTTTTCATTTCAGGCTGTAGGCAACAAAAGGTGAACATTTTTAAATGGGGTGGTGACTTTCTATACCCACTGTATCTTTACCATAGTGTGATGATTGTACCTTTGTTATATTCAAAATATTGGGTACAAACATGTGCCATTATACTAGATTATCCAAACAGTACCATGTGAGATCATTATGTGGTTCTACATCTGCATTGCTGCTCTTGGGGTTTTAGGCTGTGTTTCTTTATAAGCACTTTGTGACATCTGCTGATTTAAAAAGGACTTTATAACTTCATTTTACCCCTACCTACATGTACAAATTACCTCGACTAACCCGTACCCCGCCCATTGACTTGGTACTGGTACCCCCTGTATATAGCCTCATTACTGTTATTTTATTGTGTATGTTTTAAAAAATATATATATATTTTTTTTTACTTTAGTTTATTTGGTAAATATTTTCTGAACTCTATTTTCTTAAAACTGCATTGTTGGTTAAGGGCTTGTAAGTAAGCATTTCACGATAAGGTCTACACCTTTTGTATTCGGCGCATGTGACAAAAACATTTTGATTTGAAAGTACCACCACCCCTCCACTTAGTAACACAGTACAACCACCCCTCTACTTAGTAACACAGTACCACCACCCCTCCACTTAGTAACACAGTACCACCACCCCTCCACTTAGTAACACAGTACCACCACCCCTCCACTTAGTAACACAGTACCACCACCCCTCCACTTAGTAACACAGTACCACCACCCCACCACTTAGTAACACAGTACCACCACCCCTCCACTTAGTAACACAGTACCAACCACCCCTCCACTTAGTAAACACAGTACCACCACCCCTCTACTTAGTAACACAGTACAACCACCCCTCCTCTTAGTAACACAGTACCACCACCCCCTCTACTTAGTAACACAGTACAACCAACCCCTCCTCTTAGTAACACAGTACCACCCACCCCTCCACTTAGTAACACAGTACCACCACCCCTCCACTTAGTAACACAGTACAACCACCCCTCCACTTAGTAACACAGTACCACCACCCCTCTACTTAGTAACACAGTACAACCACCCCTCCTCTTAGTAACACAGTACCACCACCCCTCTACTTAGTAACACAGTACCACCACCCCTCTACATAGTAACACAGTACCACCACCCCTCCACTTAGTAACACAGTAAACCACCCCCTCCACTTAGTAACACAGTACCACCACTCCTCCACTTAGTAACACAGTACCACCACCCCTCCACTTAGTAACACAGTACAACCACCCCTCCACTTAGTAACACAGTACCACCACTCCTCCACTTAGTAACACAGTACCACCACCCCTCCACTTAGTAACACAGTACCACCACCCCTCCACTTAGTAACACAGGACCACCACCCCTCCACCTAGTAACACAGTACAACCACCCCTCCTCTTAGTAACACAGTACCACCACCCCTCCACTTAGTAACACAGGACCACCACCCCTCTACTTAGTAACACAGTACAACCACCCCTCCACTTAGCAACACAGTACCACCACCCCTCCACTTAGTAACACAGTCCCACCACCCCTCCACTTAGTAACACAGTACCACCACCCCTCCACCTAGTAACACAGTACAACCACCCCTCCACTTAGTAACACAGTACCACCACCCCTCCACTTAGTAACACAGTACCACCACCCCTCCACTTAGTACATTTTGATTTGAATTTGACGTGTATTTTGATTTTTGTACCCCAGGGAACAATTTGTACCCTAACCGTACCCTTATTTCTAAGAGTGTAAGCCTAATAATCCTTACCCTAAGCCTAACCCCTTACCCTAACCCCCTTACCCTAACCCACCTTAAGGTGTTCTGGATGTTCCAGAGGAGCACCAGCCCAGTGCCAGCCGACAGTAGCAGGTTCCTGCCCTGCTTCATAGTGCAGGAGATGAGGAACAGCAAGAAGAAGCAGCGGACTCTCTTGGAGCAGAACAGGACAGCCGTCACCAGGAGGGAGCAGCAGCCTGAGATGGCTCCACACCCCACTAGGCTGTAGTCCAGAGAGAAGTAGAGGCCCAGTAAGAGGACCCCCCCCAAGGCCAGGCTCAGGGTCAGGCAGGTGAGGAAGTGGAGGAGGATATGTCTCCAGCCCTTCCTGTGGTCCGAGGTGTAGAGCAGGACCATCATGGACCAGACCCGGACCAGAGCCAGTCTCAGCCTCTCAAGTCGGGATGGCATTGTAGTAGGAGGAGCAGGTTGAGGGTAAAATAATATTGAGAAATAAGTGTATCTTAAGTTCCAGTGGAGCTCTCCTCTTCACTCTGATGCTACCTCTCTTTGACTGTCTGACTGTCTGTCTAACCCTCTCTTTGACTGTCTGTCTGTCTAACCCTAACCCTCTCTCTGTCTGTCTGTCTGTCTGTCTAACCCTAACCCTCTCTCTGACTGTCTGACTGTTTGTCTGTCTAACCCTCTCTCTGTCTGTCAGACTGCTCCACTGTGTCTCTTGTTTAAAGGAACAGTATGTAAATCCCCTAACCACAATTGCAGTAATCTAATCACAGAAGCAGGTTTTGAAATGGCATGTCAAATCAAATCAAATCAAATGTTATTTGTCACATACACGTGTTTAGCAGATGTTATAGCGGGTGTAGCGAACTGCTTGTGCTTCTAGCTCCGACAGTGCAGTAATATCTAACAAGTAATATCTAACAATTTCACAACATATACCCAATACACACAAAACTAGTAAGGAATGGGATTTAAGAATATATACATATATGGACAAGCAATGACAGAGCGGCATGGACTAAGATACAGTAGAATATTATAGAATAGAATGCAGTATATACATATGAGATGAGTAGTGCAATATATGTGAACATTATTAAAGTGACTAGTGTTCCATTTCTTAAAGTGGCCAGTGATTTCAATAGGCAGCAGCAGCCTCTAATGTGCTAGTGATGGCTATTTAACAGTCTGATGGCCTTGAGATAGAAGCTGTTTTTCATTCTCTCGGTCCCAGCTTTGATGCACCTGTACTGACTTCGCCTTCCGCTGCATCTTGCCCATGCCCCCCCCTCTCCTTCACCCAAATTCAGACAGCTGATGTTCTGAAAGAGCTGCAAAATCTGGACCCCTACAAATCAGCTGGGCTAGACAATCTGGACCCTTTCTTTCTAAAATTAGCCGCCGAAATTGTCGCAACCCCTATTACTAGCCTGTTCAACCTCTCTTTTGTATCGTCTGAGATCCCCAGAGATTGGAAAGCTGCCGCGGTCATCCCCCTCTTCAAAGGGGGTGACACTCTAGATCCAAACTGTTACAGACCTATATCCATCCTGCCCTGCCTTACGAAAGTATTTGAAAGCCAAATTAACAAACAGATCACCGACCATTTCGAATCCCACCGTACCTTCTCCGCTATGCAATCTGGTTTCCGAGCTGGTCATGGGTGCACCTCAGCCACGCTCAAGGACCTAAATGATATTATAACCGCGATCGATAAAAGACAGTACTGTGCAGCCGTCTTCATCGACCTGGCCAAGGCTTTCGACTGTCAATCACCGCATTCTTATTGGCAGACTAAATAGCCTTGGTTTCGCAAATGACTGCCTCGCCTGGTTCACCAACTACTTCGCAGATAGAGTTCAATGTGTCAAATCGGAGGGCCTGTTGTCTGGACCTCTGGCAGTCTCTATGGGGGTGCCACAGGGTTCAATTCTTGGGCCGACTCTATTCTCTGTGTATATCAATGATGTCGCTCTTGTTGCTGGTGAATCTCAGATCCACCTCTACGCAGACGACACCATTTTGTATACATCTGGTCCTTCATTGGACCCTTTTTTTAACAAACCTCCAAATGAGCTTCAAATCCATACAACACTCCTTCCGTAACCTTCAACTGCTCTTAAACGCTAGTAAAACTAAATGCATGCTCTTCAATCGAACGCTGCTTGCACCCGCACGCCTGACTAGAATCACTACTCTCGGCGGGTCTGACTTAGAATATGTGGACAACTACAAATACCTAGGTGTCTGGTAAGACCGTAAACTCTCTTTCCAGACTCACATTAAGCATCTCCAATCCAAAGTTAAATCTAGAATCGGCTTCCTATTTCACAACAAAGCCTCCTTCACTCATGCTGCCAAACATGCCCTCGTAAAACTGACTATCCTACCGATCCTTGACTTCGGCGATGTCATTTACAAAATAGCCTCCAACACTCTACTCAGCAAATTGGATGTAGTCTAACACAGTGCCATCCGTTTTGTCACCAAAGCCCCATATACTACCCACCACTGTGACCTGTACGCTCTTGTTGGCTGGCCCTCACTACATATTCGTCGCCTAACCCACTGGCTCCAGGTCATCTATAAATCACTGCTAGGCAAATACCCGCCTTATCTTAGCTCATTGGTCACCATAGCAACACCCACCCATAGTATGCGCTCCAGCAGGTATATCTCACTGGTCATCCCCAAAGCCAACACCTCCTTTGGCCGTCATTCCTTCCAGTTCTCTGCTGCCAATGACTGGAACGAACTGCAAAAATCTCTGAAGCTGGAGACTCTTATCTCCCTCACTAACTTTAAGCATCAGTTGTCAGAGCACCTTACCGATCACTGCACCTGTACACAGCCCATCTGTAATTAGCCCACCCAACTACCCAGAGCATATGAGCGGAGTGGAGCGGGAGAGAGCGTGGAGCGTGAGCGGACGGATTTTGAACAGAGCGCAGAGCGGCATTTTTAAAAGGACGGAGCGTCGCCCTATGTCCCGCTCCAATTTCACTCGCTCACACCACGAGTCTGAAGCATGCTCAAGCCTAACCCAGAATCCATCTGTTTAATTTAATTTGTGTCGAGAGGAGCAGCAGCAGCAACAAGAGAAAAGGGTTGAGGAATTCAAAAGTGTATTCACTGCACGCAAATGCCCAACCATAACAAGGGAGAGAAAAAGAGAGCTGGATGTAGCATTTTTTGAAATGATTTTCATGGACTATGAACCGCTGAGTAAAGGAGAACGCGAAGGGATGCAACACTTCGCCAGCGCAGCTCAACCGGGCTACACCCCCCCCAAGAAACTATGATAAATCAGTACTTTACTGTCAAATTTACATCTGAGATGCCCCATTCACATGCTTCAGCTGGCGATCAAAAACGCCGTTAACGAGCACGACAACATTAATAGGCTGTTAGTGAAAGTCGGGCACCTGGTGAAAAGTGTACGCAAGAGCACAGAGGAAACCGACCAATTAGGTGTCCGCCCCACAAATGCCTGCGCCATTCGATGGAGCAGCCAGCTGCGGATGATTCAGTCGTTCATCCGGTTGTTCCAAAAAGACCCGTTATGGCAAAACAAACTCAAGTCTAACGTTGCTAACATCACCCTGAATCAAGTACGGCAGCTGACGCACCTTGTCAGTCTGCTGACACCACTACCAGATCTCACAGACAAAATGCAGAAGGAGCTGGGGAACCTGGGGATGATCCTCCCTGCTGTCACAGAAATCAAATCCCTGCTCACCGATTACACTCACGCTGCACTTCCAATGGGCATCGCTACTTTTGCAGAAACATTGGCAAACAACGTGTCAATTCGCTATGGAATATACTATACTGATTAACATCTCATTTAGCGTCAGTGTTAGATCCCCGTTTCAAGACAGAATGGATAATCCGAGATGAGTCTGTATCAACACATTTCGGGGAGAGAAGTAGGCTGTGGTTTAAGCTAAAAGGTGAAATACATGCAGATTTTGTTCCTTTTTTGGAGTGAGCGGGGCGATTGCGTGGAGCGCGATGCAAACTGCGTTGAGCGCTGAGGATGAGAGGCTGTGGTTGAGGGCGGCCTGAAGGCTTTGAAGCGGGGGAGTGAGGGTGAACCGCTCCGTACCTGCGATAATGACTGATGGCCTGTTGGCTTTGGCGGGGGAGGAGGGTGACAGTCCGTGACGTGAGCATAATGAGCGGACTGCCTATTGGTTGTGGACTGGTGTGTTGTGAACAGTCGTGTTATGGTTAGCATATGAGGGACTGCTGATGTGGTTTATCGCAGGCTTGCTAGGTGGTACAGCGTGCGCTTGAGCAGATAGAAGCTGTTGCTAGTTGCTGTTGAAAGGGTGAGACGAAAGGTAAATCGTAGCTGAGATAATGAGCGGGATGGCCTGATGCGGCTTTGGGGGTGGTCTGATGATGTTTTGAACATCTTGACGGTGGAGATATGAGCGGAGGGCGATGTTGCCTTGAGCGGGAGGAGTGGCAGGGCGAACACGATCCTGCGGGCTGGCGTGAAGTGCGGACGGCTGATGTGGCTGGCCGAAGGGCAGCGAGGGTTGAACAGTCGTGAGGTTGAGTGCTAATGAGCGACTGGCCTCGATGGCTTGAGGGGGGCCGGAGGGCTGTAACAGTCCGAATCGCTGAGCGATAAGACGGTATGGCCTGATGTGGCTTGAGGGAGGAGCGGAGGGGTAAAGCTCGTGAGCGCTGAGCGATAATGAGCGGACTGGCCTGATGTGGCTTTGAGCGGGGGGAGCGGAGGGGTGAACAGCTCCGTGAGCGAGGAGCTGAGATTCTCACCGCTCCACTCCGCTCATATGCTCTTCAACCACCTCATCCCCATATTGTTATTTATTTTGCTAATTTGCACCCCAGTATCTCTATTTACACATCATCTTCTGCACATCTATCACTCCAGTGTTAATACTAATTGTAATTATTTTGCACTATGGCCTATTTATTGCCTTACCTCCATAACTTGCTACATTTGCACACACTGTATATATATTTTCTGTTGTGTTATTGACTGAACGTTTTGTTTATTCCATATGTAACTCTGTGTTGTTGTTTTTATCGCACTGCTTTGCTTTATCTTGGTCAGGTCGCAGTTGTAAATGAGAACTTGTTCTCAACTGGCTTACCTGGTTAAATAAAGGTTAATTAAACAAAATATATATATAAATAAATAGCGGGGTGAACAGGCAGCGGCTCGGGTGGTTGATGTCCTTGATGATCTTTTTGGCCTTCCTATGACATCAGGTGCTGTATGTGTCCTGGAGGGCGGGTAATTTGCCCCCGGTAATGTGTTTGGCAGACCGCACCACCCTTTAGATATCCCTGCGGTTGCAGGCGGTGCAGTTGCCGTACCAGGCGGTGATACAGCCCGACAGGATGCTCTCAATTGTGCATCTGTAAAGGTTTGTGAGGGTTTTAGGTGCCAAGCCAAATTTCTTCAG